AATTATTACTGCAGAAGTGATAAGCAGAAAAAGAGAGCTCTAGAAATAAATGTATGTGGAGCACTCCATGTATTGAATTTGGCACAAGTCAACTTGCAAAAAAAATGGCATTCTTCCCTAAATTTCAGGGCCACAGAGACAACTGCAAGGTCAGCTTGATATTGGTTTTCAAGAGATAGGAAACAGTAATAGTAAACATTCTTTACATACTGTGTTCAACAGTGTTTCTCAACTGTAGCAACTTTAAGATAAGTAGACTTCAACTTCCAGAATTCCCCAGCCAGCCAATTTTGGGAATTGAAATCCACTCATCTTAAAGTTGCTAAGGCTGAGAAATACTAGTAAACCAGGTTCCAGTTTTAATTCATATCATTGGTGGATGTGTCCTTTTTAACTCATTCTCCTGAAAACTGCTCCTTGTGCGTATTTGTCTCCACACATTCACACATCTCTTTGCACATCTATGCCACAAGCTTCTTTCTTTTTGTTATTTTATTTCTCAGTTTATGAATCTTTTCACATTCTATTAGTTGCGGGGTTTCGCTTGCTTCACTTGCCAGTATCTCTTAAAGAAGCAGTAACAGCTATGAAATATGTATTTGAGAGATGTCAACAAAGTGCAACCTTGTCCACCCACCCATCCCCATTCATCAACTCATTAAAAGCATATTTTCCTGGACCTGCATCTAAAGGGTGAGCCCAGGAAAAGGTGCAGGTAAAGAAGCCCAGACACATGTACCCAGACCCTCACTGAAGCATCTTTGCTGCTTTGCAGCTAAATAACTATATATCCCTAGATTTACCATGACAGAAAACTCAGAATTTTTTTTCCTGATGATTGTAATACTAACACAGACATTTCTGTTAGTCTCTCATTTATACATTGTCTATGTCAGGAGTCCCCAACCCCCAGTATGTGGACTGGCACTGGTCCATGGCATGCCAGAAACTGGGCTGCCCAAACAAGTGAAGCCTCGTCCATGGGATGCAGGCAGCACATGAAACCACACCTCCTCCAATCCACGGAAAAAAAATCTCTCCCTGGTACCCAAAAGGTTGGGGGTCATTGGTATATGTGGTGGAATTTAGTCTGGATTCCAGGAGGGAGTGTCTGCATTCCAGAAGAGGAAGAGTCAGCTAGATATTTAGTTGAAGATAGAGCTTCAAGACAGCTCCTCTCTAAAAGTTCTTAATATATTTTTAATGATGCAAATAGTTTGCTTTAGTTTGGCAAGATTTCTGTCTATAAGGCGAAAAACAATCAAGGAAACTGCTTAGAAGTAATTTTGTGCGTCTTTCTTGGGTTTTGAAGCCTGACAATATAAATAAATATTAGGGACATACTGTATATGTGTACCAAATAATCTTAGGCAATCGTTAGAATAATTCAGTATAATTGTTTTTAACACTGTTCATAACACCAAGGAAAAAAGAAGTTCTGAATCAACTTTCTACTAATCTATCATTTGAAGCTATGTTGGAGCTCCCCCTTCTGATTAACTGCTCTCAGTGCTGTATCTTTTAGTTGATGCTTCACTGCATCACTTTTTCTGCAAAAGTCAGATAATATTATGACAAAATTACACTAAAGTTCACATCTCAGTACAATCCCTATTAATTTAAAGTAGGAAGTTTTCATACAGACTGCACATATCGTATTTAGAAGTAAAAGTCCTACAGGCCAAGAAAAACAATTAAATCAAGAGCCTCCTCTTTTGTCTAAATCAGTTGTACTTTTTGTCACTGAAATAACACACATCCAAAAAGAAACCCTGGACTTAAGGGAAAAAAATCTTCCTATAGCAGAAAAGACAAAATATTCCATCTTAAATTCCTTTCTTATAAGTACTTGAAAATAAATGTTTAATAAGGCCTTTATTGAGATCATATGCTTTGTTCTCAACCTGGACGAAGTAATCAGCATAGTCTAAGCAAGCATTTTATATCCATGTCCACCTGTGGTATAAGCATTTGTAAATGTTCTATCTATATGGTAACCATCGCTAATATCTGTGCTACTCACACCAGCTTTTCCTTATTTAAAGCTTAAATTTTGTATTAAGATCAATGGCAGATTCAGATAGCTGAATATTATTTTTTGTTTTTGCTTTCTATTAAGCTTTACAACTTATTATGCATTCTGACCATCTATCTTAATGACAATCTTAGTAATATAATATCAGTAACATTCATACCCAACTGGATGCCTTAGTTACAAACAGATAAACATTTAACAAGGAAACACAGTACCATTATAACTCTAAAGCCAAAAATTCTGCAAATAGAAGGGCATGGAGTAAAAATACAACTAAGACAACTACAGAACTGAGAAAATGCAAGAGGAAACAAAAAGGAAGATAAAGAACAGTCATCAAAAGAGACAAATCAGCTAGAACTAATGAAAGTAAAAGCTCCAGAACTATGAAAATAGAACCCAGATGACGTTGTAAATGCAGTTGTTTTACCAGTTTCTGGTGAACATGATGGGCACCCAGACTTTGAGTGGCTCGAGAAATGATCCCTGAACAACTCAAGAGCTTGGGCTTTTCCTTATTTAAATCAGATTAAATACAGAGATATGGTGATTACAAATGCTGGTTGTGCAACATAGGTGGATTAATACTTCAAAGAATTAATGCCAAGTAGAATAACCTGAGTAGAAGATTAATAATCCAGCTGCCAGTCTCTGGTATCACCTTGGCTCTACATGGGCCAAAAATCAGGTCATGAATTCATGAAACATGCAACAAAATCAACAGATGGTAGACAATCCAAAATACATGTACGATATTCAATGAGATATAACAGCACCTAGTATAGAGTTCAAAGCAGAACTCATGATCACTATTAGTTTTGCAAGTTGGGATATGAGTAAGTCAAGAAACACACTATGTCCATTTGACCCTATTATGCATGGTTAATTTAATCAATATTTTCTCAACCTGATTTCCTAAGTTTATTGATCTATAATTTAACCATGCAGAATTGGCTGAGAGAACGAACAGCAAACTAAAATATGATGTGCTAAATTGTGGTTGCTTTGTCTCTTAATAATCACAACTATTATTTTCCCTTATTCTTGTTTAGAATTGTGCCTTATTGAGAACTGCTAGGACCATTTTTATGCTGTCAATCATTGCATTCTCCAGAGGAAACTCTCCAAGTAAGGATTGATTCCCAATAGGCCCTTTTTCAAGGGATGACTTGTTCTTCAAATGCCTATGTCTCCTCAAGCTTGAACTCACAAGATGCTTGGGTTTCTTCAGCTTTGGACATATTTTTCGGACTTAGCTCTGATTATTTAGCCTCTTGTACTTCTAAACAACGAATGGCCCTCAGAATTTCATGATTTTATCTCCAGCATTCCAAACTTCTATGGCAAACTGGCCAAATTTCAGAAATATTTTTTCTTTTCTTCAAAAGAAATGGAAATGCAAGTGGAGAGAAAGCCTCTACTATTTTGATCCTAACATACACACTAAATGTTTTTTTTTAAAGGCTGAAATCTTATCACCACTTGGTAGCAGAGAATGGGGGCAATCAGAAACTTATGATAAAAATTGATGATACTACAGGCCTCCTGCTTTCTTTCTCACAACTAAAAAACATTTAAAAGCATAGCAAACTGAAAAAATGTTTAGCCCTGACCCCTCTGGGGATGTTATCATGTTATCCAGATGTTATTTTTCTAGTGCTAGAAATATTTTTTGGAATATGAACAATATAATGAAAGTAAAATATTACTTTGAATTTTCATTTATACAATGGTATTAACAAAATTTCAAGTATGTTAAACAAAAACCAGCAGATACAACTACACACTTTACAAATTACTAAATGATTTTTTAAACTTTATTTTCATAGTAATAAAACCCTCTACAGAGATTCCAATCATTGAGTAAGATAAACATGGGCCTGTCTGTCATTATAAAAACCATTTAGGTCAAAATAACAAAATTCTAAAATTTTCCCATGGAAAGACAATTAGAAGAATCCAAACTATGTGGGGGAGGGGGAAGCCCACAGGAAGTTAGAACAGCAACTAACTGCATTATCCAATTAGTTTTTCTTATTTGAAATCGCAAATATACAAAGCAGGCCATCACCTCAAAAGCCACACAAAGTCTTGCCCCTCCCCAGGCCAGTTAGGATAGGATATAGGATAGTGGCAGAACCCTTTCAGTTCCATCATACCTCAAATTCATATAATGGCAGCAATGACAACTACAAGCTGATGCTTTTCCAACCAGGTTGCCAGAAGACACTTAATATCCCAGAAACATCTCTGTTTCAAATATAGTCCTCTCGCTAGCACTTTTGAGATGGGTGATATTTGAAAAATATAACCTGATCACCCAAAAGGGTCCTTTGAGGCCATTTGCTATGCTAGTATTAAACTGAGAAAAAGAATGTTTTACTGTAATGATAACATTGTTTATACAATGCCTGCTTATGTATAAACCCATCTGTAGATAAGCCGACCCTCAGTTTTTTAATCAAAATGTATCACAAATGTGCCACTAAGCTGACCTGCATTTTTCATAGCACTTTAGTTAAAAATTCAGGGATCAGTTATCCACATACATCTATGGAAAATACAGGTACTTATAAACAGTGTCACTATATGTATCGTATATAAAACTAACCAGACATTTTGGGTGAATTTTGGCATTAAAAATTCTAAATTTATTCACAAATATATACAGCAAATGATTTGGTTCAACAGCTAGCACCATATTTACTGTACACTGTTGCTACATAACAAGTTAATTCATAAAGTCTTCTTCAGACCAATTACATTTGTGCATCCAAGTGGGACAACCAATGGCTATAGTACCTCCTTCTAAAACAAGAAAGTTCTTACCTCGTAGAAACAACCAAATTTACATGAATTATCACCTTTATTGGAAATACATTTTTAATATTTTTTTTTACTATATTGAATTCCTGAGCATCATTTTTCCCGATTTCGCTGAATAATGATTTTAAAAAGCACTTACTTTTCATGGTCCCCTCATCTTCCTCATCTTCTGCATTTATGACCATTGTTCCTAACTGTGATGCTAAAGTGTCATTGTATTCTATCATGGTATTGGCACCTTCACTCATTCCACAAGCAGCTCTGATTGTACCCATCTCTTGTCCCCTTGCTCGAACCATGGTCCTAGAATCAATTTCATCTTCTTCCTTCATTGAGAGAGAAAAAATACTTCTAACGTAAGTAAGGTAACTCCAATCGTCTAGAATCATTCAAAACATCATGGTTCTTCAATTGCCACTGAAACATTCATTACGACTATTTTTGCCACAGTTGTTAAGTGAATCACTGCCGCTGATAAGTTACTAACCCAGCTGTTAGGTGAATCTGGCTCCCCCACTGATTTTGCTTGTCAGAAGGTTGGAAAAACTGATCCCATGATCCAAAAGCACAGCAACGGTCCAAGATATGAACTAGTTGCCAATCTTCTGAATTTTGATCACATGATCATGGGAGCAATACAAGGATTGTAACTGTGAAAAATGGTCATAAGTCACTTTTTTCACTGCTGTTGTAACTGGAAGGAAAGACAAGAGAATGACCACCAGAAACGTGGTTGAAATTACAGTGGCAATGGGTACACTATTGGAAGACCTGAAGGACCATGGCTGGGAACACATCATCTTGGAGGAAATTGATCTATGTCAGTGGTCACCAACCAGTGAGCCGGGGACCACTAGTGGTCCACAATAAAATTTTGGTGGTCCTCAGAGAAAAGTCACTCCCAAAGGAATTAATGTAGAGTGTGAAGGGTGTGTGTGTTTATTTTCCTGGTCATGATGTGCACTGAAGATGGTGTGTGACTTCATTGTATGAAGTACAATGACAATAAGGTAAACTAACTAACTAATACAGGCTGCATGGGAACACAAGGCTGTACCGCCCACAAAGCCCGTGGGAACACAAGGCTTGCATTGCGCATAACTCGAGATAGTGAGGGGAAGAGGAAAGGGAAGAGAGGGGGAACTTGCCCACTCGCCCCACGCACTTGGCCTGGTCACCAGGCTGCTTCTTTCCACTTCTTTCTTCTTCTGCTTTTGGCTGCACGCAAGGAAAGCAGCAAAAGTCTTTCTTTCTCTCTCCCAAACTCTGTCAGAAATGAGTCTTTGGGACCCTGCAAGGCATCCTGCTCCAAAAGGCTGCACCATTCTGGCAGAGGTTGGGGGAGCAAAAGAAGGATTTCTGCTGCTTCTGCTGCTTTCCTTGCATGAAGCCAAAACTCCCTCTCTCTCTCTTTTCCTTTGAGAACAGAGCTGGAGACGGTATCCTGTGATCCCAAATAAAGAATGATTGATTGGTAGGAAAACGGGGTGGGGAATTTTCCTGCAGACTTTTTTGGGGATTTTCCCAGGGTCTCTGGTCTGTAGGATTTAAAATTATGAGTGTGGTGGTGCCTGAGGTCCAAAAGGTTGGCGACCCCTGATCTATGTGATCACTGATGCTAATTTGATGGCACACAATTCTATCATTAAACATCAAAAATGCAAGGCAAGGGAGCTAGAGATATTAAGAAACTTAAATCATGTCTAATGAACAGCAGAGAAACATTTTAACAGAGCAACCATGTTCTTTCTCAACTGGCTTCAATATATCAAAATGACCCACAGGCAATAAATTAGGATGGCTAAAACAAAAAGGAGCAGCAAACTTATGAGAGGCAGTAAATGCTACCTTTTGAAGTAGTTTCCACCTTCTTTATTAGAGAAATTAACAAAGATCAATAAAATGACTTCCATATTTAGAAAAATAAAATACGAGAAAAAAGCAAACTTAGTTGAGAAGATGAAATACTTCTGAAGTAGATAATATCATTGATAGATCGCTCACAGTCCAAAACAGGTGTCAAAAACCTTGCCTTCCTAAGTGCGATAATTGTCCATCCACTATAGTTTATTCGTTTGTTTAATAGATTATACCCATCTTTCCTTTGGGAGCTCACAGCATCATTCACGCGCTCCTTCTTCAGGTGCCTTATGCGAATGAGCCTTGGCTTTCTGAAGTTTCACGGAACCTGCCAATATCTCATCTTTCCCAATACACAAAAGGCCTTAGAGGGGTCAAGCGATCACCTACTATTCACAAAGAAATGATCCTATTATTTCTCTTCATAGGATAGGAAGGAAAGAGGGTGAGGGCCAGAACATTGGGAAAGACTGCAGTAAGTTCATCTTACAGTCGGTTGATGCTTCACCTTCAAAGAGGTGATTTTTTTTTTTAAAGGAAAAGTTTCTACATTTAAGAAATTAATTTAAAACATTTAAGAAATGCCTGAGCAGGAGGTGGGTTAGAAGACCTCCAAGGTCCCTTCCAACTCTGTTATTCTATTCTAAATTAATTACTGTGTTGTTTTTAATTTTCAGGGTATGCTAGATACTACTCAGAACTGGTTGGAACAGATCAGCACACAAATACTAGCAATAAATAAATATTAATAGAGTGAACAGTATGGGAAAAAAGAGTTTACAATGCTACTACAGAAAACGTTATGGCTGTAGCACTCACTGAATTTTCTTCATCATCATGAAACATGTCACGCTGTTGAGCTTGCTGAATTTTTAGTTTAATATCCATTGACTCATTAATCATATCTCGCAAGATGAAAACTCCTTTGGCATTTTTTACAAATGGGTGCTGAAAAACAGATATTAATTTTTTAACATAAAAGTTAAACTCAGAACCCAATATTATGTTCATACACCTCTAAAGAGAATGCTACTAGTAACTTTAATGCAAAACCACCCAGGTCAATTTTGTTCAACTTATACAGAAAATGAAAAACTGATACGCTATTCTGTAATACTTTAGAAGTACTCTAGAACAGAGAGGTCCAATCTGCAAGATTTAGTCAGACCCTTTTAGAATCTTTGGAAACTCCCAAACTCCCCAAGCAAAATTCAGACGCACAATTTTTCAAATTTTGGTAAAATGAAATTGAAAAGACCCCCCACCCCCGCACCCCCCCACCCCCCAAAAGGAAAGCTTCTCATTCTCTTCTCATCCTCCATTAAAAGCTTAGAAGAAAATTCTACTTTGTTAACGTCTCCAAACATGTATGTGGAGGCAACAGCTCCATATTTCCTTCCATTCCAGAATAGCAGATACTAACCTGAAGCAACTGCGTAGCAGTGGCTCTTTGTTCTGGACATTTCACAAGACACTGTTTTACAAAATCTGTAAATTCGTCTGACCACAGTTCTGGCTTTCGAAATGTTGGTGGTGGATTTGTTGGAATCATGAAAATTGCCTGCAAATAACAATATTGGTTTTTGCCCTTTGCTCATGTTATATAACAAAAAATAGATGCACAACAAAAATACTTATCAGAGCCCAAAGGGCCAAAACGTCCCTATCGTTTTGTAGGACAAAAATGGGACTACAACTTCATGTGGCTATTTTTTTTTATCACAACTATTAAACACGCTGGCACAATTTTCTGCCATAATGAAGTTGGAAAAGGATGAAAATTATAGTATTAATCCTGAAATAGGTATTCAAAAACAATACAAAACTTTATCAAGAACTCAAACCCTGCCGACATGTGAAATGGGTGTGGGTTAATGTCACCCATGTCATCCTTGGCCTCACAGAAAATATTAAAGGATAGCAACATCTTATTTCAAAGCATAAGGCTGAAACTGGACATTCCTGTAGTCTTCTGCAACATATTAAATGCAATGGCACCCCAACTATCTGAATGGTCCAGATTGGAAAAGCTGTTCTAGTGGTCTTCATCCTCAGTTTCAGTATACAGATAGTCCTAGACTTACAACACTTCATTTAGTGACCATTTGAAGTTACAATTGCACTGAAAAAAGTGACTTATGGCAATTTTTCACTTACAACTATTGTGGCATCTCCATGGTCATGTGGTCAAACTTCAGACACATGGCAATTGGTTCATATTTATGCAGTGTGCTGGTGTCACGTAATCCGCCTTTGCTACCTTCTGACAAGCAAAGTCAATGGGGAAGCCAGAGTCACTTAACAACAGTGTTACTAACTTAAAAACTGCAGTGATTCACTTAAGAAATGTATCAAGAAGTCATAAAATGGGGCAAAATTCATTTAACAAATGCCTCACTTAGCAACATAAATTTTGGGCTCAACTGTAGTTGAAAGTCAAGGACTACCTGTAATTAGCAACAGCAGTACAATATATTTCAAGTGAGTGGTACGGTGGCCGAGAGATGGAGCTCTCGCCTCACAATCTGTGAGTTCGATCCTCATAGAGGCAGATATTTCTCTCTCTGGGCACGTTGAGAATATATTTGTTGAATATAACTTCGCAATGGCGACAGGAAGGGCATCCAGCTGGCAAACACTTAGCTCCATTCAGTTGCCCAGACTTCCACCACTCAAGGGATTATGCAGTCGTTAAAAGATGATGACTACAATATATTTCAACATGGGCTACTTTACGGATTTGCATTCAAATAATTTTGAACTTTACTGAATCCAACTTCCTGCTTAAAGTGAGTTGAAAATGATAAACATTTTATTCTCTAAGAAGACTTAACAGAAACACATAGATGTTTCACTTATGTAGGTAGTCCTCACTTCATTATGGCAACTGGGATCTGCACTCCATCCCTAAGTGATATGATCTTAACATGCAATGTCATGTGACCACACTGATTTAACAACAGCTGCTGCAGCAGTCCTAGTTGCCAGCATTAGGTAAATCCCACGTGGTTGCAGCATCCTGCAGTCACATGATCATCATCTGCAATCTTCTTCCAGCTTTTCCATAGATTTTACTTGTCCAAAGTTGGCAGTGAAGATTGCAATTGGCAATCACGTGACTATGGACATTGAGACACTATAATTGCAAGCTGAATGCCAAGCACCCAAATCACAACCACATGACCACAGGGACACTGCAACTACCACAACTACAAGGATTTGTCATAAGTGAATGTGTGATCATTCAGTGAGACTGCCTGTACTGCTGATCACAAAGGAAGGGAACCAGAGGCTTCAGGCAGGCCCTATTTTTTTTTTGAATATAGCCATAGCTATTGAATAACTATAGCTATTCTAAGAATAGACAGTAAACTTCATTTTTTAACCTGATGAGAGAAGTTATTAAGCGTATGGTGCATAGACATATTTAGTAATCAAATTTAGTTTCTGTTTTATGCCTGCAAAAAGGCAAATCTAATTTACTACACACAAAATCCTCATCATGCATATGGAACTTTATTAAGTTGGTGTTTAGAGACTTTATTTGGCAAAGTAGGATCAAACCAAAGATAATGAGAACTAGGGCTCTACTAGTGTGTTAAAGCTACAATCATCTCTTATGTTGGTCCAGTTACCCTCATTGGATGAATATCAGCATATGGAGGTTTTCCTTCAGCCATTTCAATGGCAGTGATACCCAGAGACCAGATGTCTGCCAGACAATTGTATCCAATTTCTTGGATCACTTCAGGTGCCATCCAGAATGGAGTTCCTATCACAGTATTTCTTTTTGCCATAGTATCCTATGAAGGGAGACAAATTTTAAAGAAATTAGCTATTTAAAAGGAATCTGGTAAAAACATATTATGATCAATTGTTCAAATACTTTCAAATATTCTGTATACAGCTATACTGCAACTTTATAATTACAGATATTGTAAGCTACATTAAATATTCCTGCATCAATTTGGTGAATGTGCTCTTCTAGAAATCAGGGGATTATGAGTTCTAGGCCTCTCTTAGACAAGAAAATTGGCTAGATGACTTTGGGCCAGTCATTCTCTCAGTCCAACTCACCTCACAGGGTTAATGTTGTGGGGAAAACAGAAGGAATATTAGGTAAGTTAGTTGCCCTGAGCTACATGTACAGAAGAAAAAGTGGGATAGAAATATGATAACCCAGGGGTCCCCAACCACCGGGCTGTGGACCGGTACCGGTCCGTGGATCATTTGGTACCGGGCCGCAAAGAAAATAAAAATAAAATAAAAATGGCGGCTTTCTTCGCCTTCAGTGAATGCTGCTGGGATCAGGGATCAAGGACACAAATGAAAGAAGGGGGGGGAGGAAGCAACCAAAGCCTGTCCTGCTCTCCGGCTCAGCGGCTTCGGTTTCCTCCCGCCTCGTTCCTCTCTCAGTCGCTCTCTCGCTCCTCCACCAGCCCAGGAAGAAACTGCTTCAAAGAAGCCGGCAGGGTGGCTTTTCCTGTCGGCGCAGCTCCTCCGAAGCGCCCGTTCACCCCCACCCCGCCGCCCGCGGTTCAATCCAGTGCTCCGTTCTGCCTGCCTGCCTTCGTTTCTGGTTGTTTCGGAGTAGCTTTGGCTGAGAATAATAACTATTCGCCTCTTTTACTCAGCCGAAACTACTCCGAAACAACCAGAAACGAAGGCAGGCAGGCAGAACGGAGCACTGGATTGAACCGCGGGCGGCGGGGTGGGGGTGAACGGGCGCTTCGGAGGAGCTGCGCCGACAGGAAAAGCCACGCTGCTGGCTTCTTTGAAGCAGTTTCTTCCTGGGCTGGTGGAGGAGCGAGAGAGCGACTGAGAGAGGAACGAGGCAGACACCTGAGGGATGAGGGATAAGGCTGAGGGAGGCAGGGCTGAGAGGCGGGGCTTCTCAGCCATCCTGCAGGGACTTGTCCTGAGCCTCCCTGAACTTGGTGGTTTGCTGGCAGACATTTTATTACCCGACTAGGTAACAACATCAGATGTTATCTAGTCAGGTAATGAAACCTCTGCAAGCAAGCCACCAAACTCGGACTCTTCCCCCCCCCCCCCCCCTTGAAAAAGTGTCTTCCCCCCCCCCGGGTGAAACTGGTCCCTGGTACAAAAAAGGTTGGGGACCACTGTGATAACCCATCTCCTATGATTTTCAAAATATTTGATAGTAAAGATGGGCAAAACACTCTGAACAGAATAGCTTGGCTCAAGTTGCTCATGCCTGCACTGGAACATATAACTTTGTTCCAGGAAGGAGGAGAGGCAAAGAAAAACCCAAGGATATTAGTGGATAAGAGAAGAGAGAGGCAGAAAGACCAGGGAAAAGAAGATAATGCTTCTGACCCTGCTGGCAAGGTGATAGAATGTTTGTGCTGGACATTCCCAATCCAGCAAGAGTGGAGAGAAAGAAAAAAAGTGGTGAGAAGATTAGGGATGGTCAAGCTGGTAGGATACGCTGGATTGGGAACAACACACATCAACCTTGTCCTATTAAACCTGTCTGGATTTTGTTTTATTCAAAATCTAAATTGAATTTCAATTTTTCTAAATTATGCCTGATCTGAACAAGTTAGCAAAACCTCCAGAATATGATGGTTCTGGGTTGGAAATAATTTTTCCGGCTTTGTGCACATCCAAGTCAACAGAGATACATTCAAATGAAAATAATTTCTAAAAATCTAAAGCTTCCAATCTTAGAAAATCAGGTTATTTATATATGCTTTTAGTTCTCCAGAGACCATCTCATATTATATAGCAACATTTGAGCCAGAAAATATACTGTTTGGTTTACATATATCAAACTAGAATGTTTATTTAAATACTGGCATTTTGTGATGTTTGCATCCAGTCAATACAGTTTGTAAACCATTGTTAATATATTACTATGCTGCCAACTGTGGCTTGTTAAACAACCAATTCTTTGCACAATATTGGAAGAGGTATATCAGTAGTTTTTACACTTACAGTAAGCTGGCCAGCCACCCCAAAATCTGCAAGTTTAGCATGTCCTTCTGTATTAAGTAATATGTTGCCAGCTTTGATGTCACGGTGTATTTTCCTCATGAAATGTAGGTATTCCAGTCCTTTCAATGTTGATTGTATTATTGTAGAAATTTCATCTTCCATCAACTGTAGAAGGAAACTTACTAAATGAGCAAAGTTATTGCTAAGTCCCTATTATTGTCACTTAAAATACATGTTTTCTATTAGGATAAGGGATGGAGAAGGCTACAAGAGGATAATGCGACTTATTTATTTCCAGTAATAACTATTTCCAGTGGAACATAGAAGGAATGTTCGATTTCTGCACTTTCACATTTTCTTGTTACTCAATAAACCAGACTAACGTTTATAAAGTTCATCAACTTTTATCCAAACTTTTTATCCAAAAAAATCCCCTCAAGCATTTATTCAGATCCTGAAGCAGCACATACCGTTTTATTTCGTAGTCGAATTATATCAGACACAGATCCGGCACCGCAATATTCCATTACTATCCAGAGGTCCGTGTTCTTAAAATAGCTGCCATAATATTTGACTACATGAGGACTAAGGAAGACAGAATGTATTACTGAATTGACTCGTGTACATTTTCCAAAAAAAAAAAAAAGCCAGCTACGAATTAACCCCAAATCCTAGGATTGGGGGAGTATTAGGATCTTAAGAAAAAGCATAAACTCATAAAAATGAAATTCCATTCTCTGGTTTTCAGTTATGTATTTCTACTCCTATTTCAAAGGAGTGCATTTTTTTTTGCACAAGGCAACTCATGCAAGTGGAAGAGTTTGATTTAACTGGCTTGCTCGAAGGATTGAGCTGGCAAAGCAAAAATTCAAAAGCTGCAGACCTTAGCAAGACCATTCTGTGAACATGGGACAGTACTTTCCACATTCTGTTCTGGGAAAACAGTGTCAAAAATTACTGGTATCCTGAAAGGGCAGGAGAACAAGATCTTGGATTTCAGTCTTGAGTGCCCATCTGACTATCTCTTTCTCTCATACATATATACCCAGGCAAAGCTGGATTCCTGTATTCTGCAGCAATTATGCAGCTATAATTACTAAATTAGCAATAAACATTTTATTTAATGGTGTGAGTCTTTGAAACTTCTGCTCTTATTTAGCTATGACTATGAAAATGACAGCTGAGTATCTGAAGAGTCGTTTTTTCTGAAGTCCAGCACTTCCAACAGCTACCCAATATTTAACAGGGAATATACTAATAAAATATTTCAATTCAGGCATAAAATGTTATTCAAGTTGAGAATTTTTATAACCATTATATTGATATTAGCCACAACTTTTCAAATTACATTCTTCTACAGTATGAATGTTTTAGCTTCTTATAACAGTGTGTGTGTGTGTGTGTGTGTATCACACACACACACACTTACATACACACACAAACATATATGTATGTATATTTAACAGAGAAAATTGTGCAAGATATATTTTTCATTATTTTCTATCTATTATCTTACTAACATTTAAGACATTTCCAATACATGGTGAAAGCTCACATAGAGGTTTCTCTGATGTATTATTCTGTAGAAATTCTTCAGTTGTTTCAAAATAACAGCAATGAATGAATGGTTCATGAATGGTTTACATATTCTTGTTGTAGGAAAGGTGTGTCCTCTCTCTAGTCCCCCACCCACCCACCCACATTCTTGCTTCCTCTATAAACTAGTGAAAATCTGCATTTGGGGATGTCGGGGGGGGGGATTATTGTAAGAAGGTTAGGCAAAGGCAAGGAAAAATATTTTTCTTCAATTATTTCATCGGATCTTAATTTCTTCAGCAAATGGAATAATTCATTATCAATCAAGTGGGACAGTGTTACAGTTTTAACATATTTCAGATTGCTATGCTTATTCGTTATTAATCTATTTTAAATCATGTAAACTCCTTTCAGCACCAATAGATTTTTTCTAAGCTTACATATATATCTTTTAAAAAAGATATGGATTTCTAAGTATCTAATATTCCAATAATTTTCCAATAAATCATTTCCCATAAAAAGACTTTTAACAGAACATTAAAGCTTTTGTATTTTAACCTTCTTTGAATAAACTAAACATTTCTGAAAAAAAAACCATTTAATCACTTTATTAATCACATTTAATCACTCCTTAATCACGTGTATTTTTTTAAAATACTGTAGTTCAAGAGGATTGTGGGAAATTAACGGAGCTCTCTTATTTACAAAGTTCAAAACAAACTAATGAGACAAGACTAAATAGATCAATATGGCCAAGTTAATAAAACATTGGTGTTTAGAATAGACTTTCTAGAGTTTAGCAGGATATTAATAAAATAACTAAAAGTTTCAATGGCTCAGAAAGAATAGAAGCAACAGAAAAGGACGATAGATTTAATTCTTTATTAAAAATATCACATCTGCCCAGATATCCAGAGTAGTGTCCTGGATAGTGAATATTTCTTATTAAAATAAACAGGCCCTGCTGGTGTTCACTATTATGCTCAGAAATTCCAGGAAATTCCTGACGACTTTCTCCTTCAGAGGGAAGACATAGAAGAAGAGAATATGCTAAACATATCTTGAACTTAACTAATACAAAATATTTGGTAGAAAATAATGGAAACTTTGAGGAAAGTTACATGATAGTATAGTTTCTGCTATTAAGCAAAAGTAAAGATGAATATAACTGAGTATTATCTTGAACTTCAGATTTAAAAAATTCAGAACAATGAAAAATGGATCCCTGAAAGGTGCTCTTAAGAAATAAAACACTAAAAGCACAACAGACTCATTCCAGCAGACAAAGGAAAATAGCAGAAGCACTTAATGTGGCAGCCCAAAAAGTTAGAAAAATTAAGCAAGGAGCATACTGAATTAGTACTGAGGGACAGAATGCAGAGTAATAGCATATACAGGTAGCCAAAATTGTAGGTGGTATCAGGAAAGGTCAAGCTCAAAATGAGCCAGTCAATAAAGGGTGCCAAGAATGACACAAAGGATGTCTATTGAGATTCTCAGTTATCCAGGTGATGGTTGTCCCAAAGGTGCTTTTTCAAGAGGCAACTTGGCTTTCTTTACTTTTCCTTGAAAACATTTCACTTCTCACTCAAGCTTCTTCATTTCTGACTGAATGGTGGAGAAGCAAAACATCTTCAAGAGCTGAAGAAGCTTCAAGGAAAAACAAAGAAAGTCCAGTTGCCTCTTGAAAAAACACCTTTGGAATGACAAAAAAGGGCTTCTTCAGGTACGGGTAAAAAGGAAAAAAAAACATTTAATGGCTATTTGGTGAAAATGATAAAATCCTAACTGTTAATGAAGAAAAAGCAAAACTATATAATTCCTACTTTGATTTAATCTCTCAGAAATCTTAAGAGAAAGGGAGGGGGGGGGACAGCTGAATTCTGTCTAACTGTAGAAAGGCAAAATGGAATTCTGAATACTTCAGACCAGGTGTCTCCAACCCCCAATCCTGGGACTAGCACCAGTCTGCAGCATGCCAGTAACAAGGCCGTGCAAACAAGTGAAGCCCCATCTGTGGTATGTAGGCAGCACACTAAGCCACCCGCTCCAGTCTGCAGAAAAACCTTTCTTCACGGAACCAATCCTTGGTGCTCAAAAGATTGCGGGGCTTCAGACTTATTTCATCTGAATTTTTCAATCTGAGACATTCTACAGATTATTAAGAGTTTGATCTGTAAGCATTTTAAAACAAGCTCTATGGTTTGTCCAAAACAAATCTTGCCAGAGTAAATTTATCTAGTAATTTTATTAGTAGATTGTGAAATGCTATAGATCAGGGCTGTCAATCTCCTGGCCTGTGGGCTGGATGCGTCATGTGCTGGCCATGCCCCCGCCCGGTTTAGTGAAGGGGGAAAAAGTCCCAGTACGCCACACAACATCACCATGATGACATGAGTTTGACACTCCTGCTATAGACATAGCTTAACTTCGTATTTAATGAGAACAAAACCACTACCTAGAGAATAGGATGAAAATAACAGAATAAATTTTAAGAAAGAGAAATGCAAAGTTCTTAAATTTTAAGAAGGAGAAATGCAAAGTTCTTAAATTATGAAATAAATCAAAGGTACAGATATTGGTCCCTTTGGTAACAGCACAATGAGGTATAGTGGAATAGTAAGTACATCACCAGATAACTAACACCCAACAGAGTGACATAGCTGCCCAAAATCAAATGCAATTTTAGGCTAAATCAACAGCAATCTAGTTTATAAATCACAGGAAGCAATAGCTCCATTATAGGTTGCATTTGTTTTAAGTACTGTGTGTAATCCCTAGCCCGGTGGTGGGATTCACATTTTTTTATTACCAATTCTGTGGGCGTGGCTTGGTGGGTGTGGTTTGGCTTGGTGGGCTGACTGTGTTTAGCTCTGAGAAAAGTTATGCGTTATATTCCTATATGATAATACTTCTAACCTATCTGAAGTTTGCTGGTTACTGTATTAACAATATAGTAAAAATAAAATACAGTAAAAGCTTTCTTTAGGTAAAAGAATAGACTATATTGTTTTCTGCCATTTTGAAGCACAAAGCACTGCAGGAATTCCATTTCTTCACACTATCTCCATAGAAACGTGGGTGGGAAAAGATAAATCTGTCCATTATTTCACCCAACACATAATCAAGAAACCATCTCTTTCCACCCATCAAACTAGATAAAAAGATGATATAACCTCCCACATAATTTTTTAAGAGTCAGTAGGAGAATGAGAAATAAGAGATTTCCCATTGGTAAATGAAAATACTGAGTGCTGGTACTTACCTATCACATTGTTGCATTATTGATATCTCCTTAATAATCTCCTGCAAATCAGATTCAACAGGAACTTGCTTAATTGCAACAACTTGGCCTGTTTCTTTGTGGATAGCTTTGAATACGCTGCCATAGGATCTATAACAAGAAACCCAAACTTGAAACTCAGAAAGGACAATAAAAGAAGCTTGTTCATTGTGCTGTACCACTAGTTGTACCACAACCCTGTGGCCACACTCATACCTTATTATCATCTCATTGATTGAAACACTTCGCTCTATTTTTCCACTTCGAATAAACGGATACATTTAAAGGTTCAAATGTTTTTTCTACACACAAATGTAAGTTTCGATTATTCTCAATAAATCAAGGGATTCTTTCCTCAATAAATCAATGAAAATCAATGTTCTGGCTCATTTAATTGGGTTTTTATTTAATTTTAAGACTTATGTACAGAACAGATCCTATCATAGATCATATATGCAGAAATATTGACAATTGAAAAGGGTTCACCAACCTTTAAGTACCACTGTATATAAGAAACATTACTGGAATAAGCTGTTTTAATACTCCTAATGTGGAAAATATATATATTTGGAGGAGAAATAGTAACTTTTGTTCTCAGAAGCTGACTTTTTAGTTTTCAGAAGCTAAAAACTATGTTACCATAAATATTCATCACTAATCAATATTTTTATTTAGTGGGATACAGATTATCTACCAGTAACATTATTTAACTTTAAATGTCCCAAACATTAATTGACTTGCTTTATTACTAGAAATGAACTGTGGAGTATATTTTGCATGATTAATCTTGCTTTTGGAAAGAGTGTGATCTAAGTCATGCATGGCATTGCTGAATATAAGAGAAAAATTTCTAAATATTTACAGCGTTCTCTCATTCTTTTAACTCAGACCGAAAAAGTGAGGCTTTGCACACTGCATGACTTCCTCAATTGCTAGAAATGGACAACCTGCAGACATAGCAGCCCCCTTCGGAACCCCTCTAACCACCACAGTTTCCTACGCCTTGAGGCAGGAAACTTGCAGAAACTAAAAATAGGCTAAACAAACAAAACACCAGAAAATGGGGGGAAAGGAGAAGCAAACAAAAAACAATAAAATTTTAAGAATTCATTTAAAATGCTACTAACAACTTGATTCATGTAAAAAGGTTTACTTTCTTTTAGAACACAGGAAATACAGTAAAACATTTTATCTTCTGATATATGTCTGTGAACTTTCAACCATTATGGCAATATGGAATATCTGACATTACAGGAGTAGCAGAGGAATAATTTTTAGGTCACACATTGCCTAAATGAAGACAGTAATAAACGCTCTGCATAGAAATGACAAAATTATTTCATAGACCTCAATAACAGTACTCTTTTAGGTCCGTCCATCCCCCCGGCCATGTGAAAAAAGCTTAATGATTTCCTATCCTGTTTAGAAAAATAGTCTTCAGAATAATAGTGATGGAATCTTTAACAGAATTCTGCATGTATACAAGTAGTCTTGAGTTACGATGGCCACCGGTAGCAGAATTTCTGTCACTAAGCAATGCAGTTGTAAAGCATGATGTCATATGACCAGATTTCTTAGCAAAGGCAATCACTGTAGTTCCCATTGTCATTTTTAAGCAATGACTGGGGGTAGTTAAGCAAACCCCTCCTTGAAACTACCTGCTGGCTTCCAACAACTAAAGTCAGCATGGAAGCCAGCAGGAAATTGCAAGTCCAGGCAGATTACAAGCAGGCCAGCAGACAGCTGCTGCCAAATGGGAGATGGAGTGAGGGGAAGGCAGATGCCTGGGAAATGTAGTACAGATAAGGCAGGGCTTGGGGTGGCTGCTACTGGGTGTGGGAAGGTGTGCAAGGGTATGCAAGTGGTTGGACAGGGTGCACTAGAATACATGAGCACAGCAAGGCTTGGAGCGCGCGTAGATTGTCAGGGAGGTGCAATGTGAGCACAGGGAGGTTCAGGGAGGGAACACAAGAGGCTGGGGAAAGGTGTACAGGTAACCAGCACAAGCAAACAGGTTGGAGGAGAGTGCGCAGATGGGGGAGACTTATCTAACCAACTTGCAACCTTTCCTGCCGGCTTCCCCATTGACTCTGCTTGTGAGAAGCCAGTAGGGAAGGTCACAAATCACATGAATGGGAGGGCTGCAGCCATAATAAAAGCCAGTTGTCCAGTGCCCAGGTCACAAACACCAGTGTGGGGTTGCTGTGACAGTTGGATGTTTGAGGAGGAGAGTAATCACTACTCATTGAGCACTCTCGTAACTCTGAATGGTTGCTGAACAAGTGGTCTTTAAGTGAAGACTACGTTTATGCAGTTTGGGTAAGTACAGGTATTCCTCAACTTACAACTATAATTGAGCCCAAAATTTCCACTGCTAAGCAAGGAAGCTGTTAAGTGAGTTGCGCCCCATTTGATGACTTTTTGGGTATGGTTGTTAAGGAAATCACTAAAGTTGTGAAATGAATCTTGCAATGGTTAAGCGAATCTGGCTTCCCCCATTGAATATGCTTGTCAGAAGCTCCCTAGGAACGTTGCAAATGACAATCCCAGGATCCTGGGATGTTGCAACCATTGTAAATACATCGTGGTTGCCAAGCACCCAAAGTATGATCCTGTGACTATGGGGATGCTACAATGGTCATCGGTGTGAGAATCAGTCATAAGTCTTTTTTTTTTCAGGGCCATAGTAACTTTGAATAGTCATTAGATGAACTGTTATAAGTCAAGGATTACCAATACCTAAATGCACACAATCATAAACATCATCAGCAAATATAATTAACAAAGAAAATCACAGTAACTAAGGTAACAAAAGTGTAAAGTAAAATAATGTTTTTCCTACATATCAAACCCGTGAACCTATTTTAATTGTCCCAATCCATCAAGGCACGTTCCAGAATTAAGTATCGTTTGGCTAGGTAAAACATGGAAAAAAATTCTGTAACTCCATGACACAGAGATCATTCTGGTCAATTTTAGACTGGCAGTTGCTCTAATCCTTTACAAGCTTAGAGGGCTGTTAAAATGATCCAGCCCAGTCTTCTTGTGCAATGGTTTGGGTCCTGCCTAAAGGTAGTACTGGATGAATTACTCTTCAATATCTGAATCACTTATCTATGGTGTTCCATAAACTTCAGTCTTATCTCCCATACTGCACAATATCTATAGGAAATTATTGCGAGAGTTTTGGGTTCTAGGGCTAGGGTGCCATGTATTTACTGATGACATCAAGTTCAACTGCTCCTTACCAATTTCAAGGAAGCAATCAGTATCCTTGAACCCTTTCTAATTTTGATGGTGGACTAAATGAAAGAGAACAACCTGAAATTAAATCCAGATTAAAAGAAATGTATCATTCATAGGAAAAAGATGGAAATGTTTCTTTCTACGATTGAAAGAAACATTTCCAGAAAAAGCAGGTTCACAGTTTCGAGATGTTTCCTGAATCTCACCTATCACTGAGTTTGCCGGTGTAGGCAAAAGTTACGTATGCATAATTACAGTTCATGAAGCTATGTGATATTTCGTCAGTGGGCAATTTAACCTCTCCTCATTACAACCTCTCTTAACTGTTACATTCCACTTTAGATGGGGCTACTACTCCTGAACAGTGTCTAGAAACTGTAATTCAAACAAATTGTGACATTCCCACCAGATATACGATACAAGATATATGAAATATTTGATGCTATAATAAAACATCTTCACATTTCCTGTCTCTTAGAGTACAAGTCACTCTATAGCTAACTTTCTCTACTGTAGTCTATAAAACAATGTTTTGCCCTGAAATAAGTAGCCTGGTTTAATTACAGTCTTCAAAATGACTTGCTGTTTCAAATAGAGTTTTGATCGTACATATCAGGAAATGACATCAATCCCTTACATACAGCTATTATCTATGGTAGCATTATATACATTGTGATAAGGATATTTATGTGGTTTACTTACCCCTCTCCAAGTTTTTCCAACACATCAAACACTTCTTCAGGCTGTTTTGTCAAACTATCTTCATCTAATTTTCTTAGCTGCCTGGAATCGAATAATTAGATATGTTATCATATTTTAATGGACAGACCTTCAATATCAACTTAATTCCAGCAGCAAAGATAGTTTATTAACAAATTCTTTTACTAATACTGAGTATAAGCCATACATATGCAACACTACATGTTTAAAGGACAGACAGATGAGAACTTTTCTAAGGCAGCCTGAAATTTGCACCAACTATATCTCTTGTACTACAGTGTATTCCAATTTATAAAGTATTTTTCACCCAAAATGCACTTACTAGTAATGAAATGTGTTCTAGTTTCATGAAAACTAGGCATTCATTTTCTGAATCAAAAATATAAAAAGAATCAGCACCATATGCAAAACAGGTAATGATTTTAAAAGAGGAAATATTACTAAGATTCTACCCAGGAAATGATGAAACATGAAAACAAGTCTTAATGATAAAGCTTTAAAATTACAGAATATAATCTGGTTTAGAATAGAAAATAACAAATATGTTATCCTTCCCAAGTTACAAGTTGGGTAACAGTTAGCCCACAAACTGTTCTAGCTATGCACTTTTAAACAAGCCACAATTGGCTAGTTTCATATATCATAGTGTGAATTCAAACGTATTAACCCTGCTCATACATGATAAACAACCAGTTAATTCATTTCTAAATGTTATCATAACATATTTAACAACTACATTTATTAGTTTTTAAACTTTGTAATTTTATTTATTTGATAAGTTTATACAGGTAGTATAAACCTCAATTTGGACCAGTGCCAAGTACGAAATGACAATAACCGCTTTCTCGCTCAAAATTGACAATATTAATCAGTTCCACAGCTCACTTTTATTTGCCTTCCTACCCTTTGGAATGTATATCCTAGTGCCAGTATAATTAACAAGGGAATTAATGTTTTTATTTAGACTCATTATAGAGAAAGATTATAACAGAGTAAGCAGGCAAGCAAAGGGGGAATACCCATCAAAAGCAATATACTAGCATCAGCAGCTGGGTGCACACTATACTAATATCCCACCGTATTCTTTGTTGTGTATCTGTTTACTCTCTTGGAAATCAGTTGCAGTCTCTGATAATAGTTTAAAGTTACAAATTCTTCTGACTTCAATTGTCTTTAACTTGTGTTTGTTTTCCTATTGCAATGGGTAACGTAGTCCTCAAATTACAACCATATGTTTAGTTACCATTCGAAGTTACAACAGCACTGAAAAAAGTGACTTTTGATTGTTCTTCACACTTTCAACCATGGCAGCCTCTCCATGGCCACATGCCCAAAATTTGGGAGCTTCACAATTGGTTCATATTTTTAACGGCTGCAGTGTCTTGAGGTCATGTGTTCACCTTTTGCGACCTTCTGACAAGCAAAGTCAATGGGAAAGCCAGATTCACTTAACTGTGTTGCTAACTTGACTGCAGTGATTCACTTAACAAATGTGGCAAGAAAGGTCATAAAATGGAGTAAAACCCATCTGTCTCATTTAGCAACAGAAATTTTGCACTCAATTGTGGTCATAAGTTGTGGGCTACCTATACTATATTTTGGTTCTCCAAATACTGAGTTGCAACTCCAATTCATCTGTCTATCTCCCATCCAATTTAGAGGCCACCTGATTTCACAGAATTTATATTACAAAATAGCAATAATTAAAAATACATTGCTAAGTGCAACATTCCAATTTTATGATCTTATTTCAGCTTTCCTCTGCTTTACAGGCCTGCAAAGGTTGTAAATGTTAGGATTGGTTGCAAAGTTACTTTTTCACACCATTGTAATTGCAAACAATGACTAAACAAGGTAAATATAATTTCAATATAATCTTTACTGTGTTACTTTTATAAAGGTATTCATACAAATATTGCCTGCTTTCAAAGGGATTTTTTTTATAATTTCATACCTAATATATACAGCTGAAAGGCAATCATATAGGTTATACATGACTATGTGAGTTAATATCAAGAACAAGTATGTGCAGGATATTTTTTTAAAGGTGGGACAAAAATCTGTAATTCAGTAAATTATGTAATTTGCAATCTACATATACAGAAATTTTGAATACTTGCAATGTTTAACGCACTGTTTAAGCAATTAAAACTGCACAAGAAATGTATTGCCAGTATTTCAGGGTTTTGACATTTTAGAACTTCCCTTTATGCATTTTAAGACACTGGGTGCTCCTTTACGTATCCACTTCCCCTTACTATGTTTTCAAGCAATGAGCTTTTGGTAACTACAGATACTAACTTCCTCTGCAGAAAATGTTCGAAGTACCTCAAAATGTATACATGAGAGCCCATAATATTTTTGCTTTCAGCTTATGCTTCTAGAGAAAAGCTATTTCTAAAAAGACAACATTATTTGGAAAGCCTTGCAAATTCATAAAACAAAACTTTTATTATTCACTTCTCTATTCTTCTGCTGATGAGTTAACCAAAAACTTAGAAACCACCCTGAACTGTAAGGAAGCCCTGATTTAAATGCCCAGGCAGAAATACTTAGGCCCAGGCAGAGACAATTATCTCCATCTTTGGAAAACTAACTAGACTAATCGATATGGGATTTCACCCTAGGCCCGCCTCTCTTGAGATGGCAAGTTCGTATCTTTTGATAGGGCGATATAAGTTTGACCACACTAAACGGTATCGCTGCATTTCTTCTCTGGTTTTGACCGTGGGAAAGAACACGACTGAGGAAAGCAGATGGCTCAACGTTCACAGATAAGGTGACCCAAAATGGTAGCTTAAGGGATTTCAGGTGGAACTTAAATCCAGAGAAAATAGTTGGGACTAACGCAGCCCGAAGAGGCAAACAGCTGCAAAACGCAGAGCCGACTCCACCAATAGGAAACGAGCCGGGCGCCCAGTTTTGAGACAAAGCATTACAGAAAGACGCCTGTCCTTGAGGCACAAGGTGCAGGCGAAGCCGGACCGGCGAAAGGCAGCGGAGGAGGAGGAGGGTCAGAGTTTCCTCTGCAGAGAAGACCCAAGAGCCGGTCTCAAAGGCAAGGAAAAGCGCAGTCGGCACGCAGCCCCCCACCCCCACCCCACCCCCATGGCTCGTTCTGTCCTTGAGGTTTCTTCCACCATCCTCATCGCGCGGTCACGCCCTTTTCTCTAGGGGCCCCCCAATGTCCGGCTTCTCACCGGCGCGGGTGGCGCAACTGCACGGTCTCCATGGCTGCAAGAGGAGGAGCAGCAGCAGCAGCGGCCGATAGACAGAGCCGGGATGGTGCGGAAGATCAAAGAGAGGCGGCAGTCACCGGCGCTTCATCCCGCCCGCTTTCTCGCAGCTCTTCTTTACTTGCTCCGACTCAAGGAGCGGGCCCCGCCTCCCAAACAAGCGGCGGCTTGCACTTCCGCCTCGGTGCAGCCTATCGAGGCGATGCCCGCCGGCTTCCGCAAAAAGCGAAGCCAAATATGGACCCCGCCCACCCGGCACGCGGGGGGGTGGGGTTGGGGAGGGAGATGAAATTCACTGCCCGACCCACGTGTTCGCGCCAATTCTCTCCTGGCTTTGGAGGGCGTGGCTACGGAGGTGGGTGGTTGGCTGTAACCCCGCCCATCTTTATGGGGGGGGGGGGGGGGGCGCGTGGTGGGTACGCGCTTTCCCGAAGTTTGAGTAAGATGTGGCTGACCCCATTAATTTTGGGTTCACACATTGCATTAAACCATTTTTTTTCAATCACCCTGGCGGAATTCACACCTTTCGCTAATTTATATCCTTATTACCCATTAGTTCGTTTTCTTGATGCCCATAGCATCATAAAACTAAAAGGGGTTGTTTTTTTAAAGGACTGAAATATCCTGAAACTCTCATCTTATAAAGATTTCAGGCAGGAAGTTAAACAAAAAAAGGGAGGGAGAACAGGTACAGCCCTATGATTTTAAGAATTTTTGGAAAAAAATACGGAAACAAGCATCCCAGTGTAGAGCAGCCATTGGCTATCAGCAAGCCTCTGAGCACAGGTTGACATCCATTAGACTTCTTTGTCACAGAAAGCTAAGTTTTATGGCTTATATTTCAATACAGTGTACAAACCCAGAAAATTCTGTTAAGTCAGCACATTCATAGTTAACTGGCCCAAAATATCCTTCTAAGCTAGGAAAAACATTTTAGCCTACTCTTATCCAAATACATGTTAGCTAGTGTACAGTGGAAATTTAACTTACACATGGTTGCAATCTTATACTTAGGGTTACTTGCGAATATTCATGATTAGAATACTGGTAAGCATATGATCATAAGTATGCCTAGTTCAGAAGAACAATTCTGATTATTTGGGATTGTTACTATCTGGATTCAGTTTTCAATCCATTTACTTGGAAGAAAGCTCCTTTGCATCAAGTGAATTGTGTTATAATTGTTAAAATAATACAGAGAATTGGGGATTACTTATATATCATAGCATGCACTGGCTTAAGCAGAATGTTCTTACTGGGGGGCAATTCTAGCAACTCCCAAGAAAAGTATTTGACATTTTAAATTCCATCAGACAAATTGTCTGTGGCATAAAGCTTATTAACAAGAATCTGCTAGCCAATTACACAAGAGTGGAGAGAGATAATTGGTTAAGAATTGGTCCATTTGTTTTATAGGTTTGAGGAAAAATAAAGGCCAAAATGAGTATGTATTACCTGGAAAAATTCAACTTTGCTGAGACTTCAAAAAAAAAATGAGTATCTTAACTAACTGCAAATATTTAGGCGCTCATTTGCTTTTAAGAATGGTATATCCTGAAGAGCCCTTGGTCTAAAAGACCTCCAAGGCCCCATTCAATGCTATGATTCTAATTTTTTTAAAAGATTAAAATTGGGATTTTGAGGTTAGAAAAGGCTAGGGGGGCCGCTAATAGACTGTGTATAATCTGCAAACATCTTTCAGTGATGAATTGGGGCTGTGTGTCACAAACAAATGGCTATTCTTATATATAAATCTAATTGCAATTAAATAGAGATCATTCTATCATGGATGTAATAATCCTTTCTGTTGCACTATAAATTTCTATAGTGTAACAAATCTGAGTGGGACCACTGCAATTTGTGGATCCCTATTGTAAAGTTCCCTCATGGCTTAATATTTGGTGCAGAATCCACTTCTTTTTCTAATAGAAAAGCATTCTATCTTAATCCAGAATTTGCACTATTCCAGATTCACATCCCATGGATACTTTATTATATACCTGTGTTAAACCTTGCTAGGAAAAAAAAACACCATATGACTCTCCCCACCTTTTAATATAATACAAACGCCACTATATGTTGGAAAGTCATTGCCACACAGAGAGAGAGATTGAAGTTTAACATCTACCATCTCTCTTTCTTATTGAAAGTTCAGTTTTCTGTTCAATTGATTTCTATGCAGTTTTACGCGAGATTACTGTTTATAAATTTATTGATTGAATGCAGTGGGGTTTCCTCCCACAGGAGCTCGAAATACTCCATTGGGTTCACCCCCCCCAATGTGAATACAGTGCTGTAGTCTACGCAGGCAGCTTCATTTCACTCTCCCTCCCCCCTCCCTTCAAACCGCCCCCCCTCAACTGACTTCCTAAGCAACCATGTATAGATTGCAGCGCTGGACCTCCGGTGTACGGGCGTCTCTAAAGGAAGGAGGCGGGGCGTAGGCCGCTTGCACCGCCCCTAATTAAATCGAGCACGGAGGAAGTAAAGCGTCTCCTGGTTTCTACGCCGCCAGCCGGTGCCGGCTTTTTTCAGACCTCCCTCGCCTCGAGTTCATGGCTCCTGCGTCGCGGATCGCCGACCTGAAGCAAGCGGGCAACGAACAGTTCCGCAATGGGCAATACGGCCAAGCGGCTGCGCTCTACGGCCGAGCTCTGGAATTGCTCGAAGCGGCAGGTACTGGCGTGGAGCGCGAAGCCCCCGCAAAGGCCTCGCTCGGTTGTCTGGGGCGGGAAGTCCTGGACGAGAGACCTCGGGTTAGGACTCTGAGGCAGTCGCCTCATTGCCTCTCTTAGAAACCCTTCGATAGGCTTTGAAAGAGGGGTTTTGGTTTTTTTACTTTCAGCCACCGGGTCGCTCTTTGCTCGGTACCGGCTGATTCCCCAAGTCTGACTCTTATTTACTTCTTTCGTGTTGTAAATGAGTTGTAAGATGGGGTGGGAGCGTCCGGCTGGGCTTCAAAGCCATAACCGGCGTGTGTGTGTCTGTGTGTAGATGAGATGGCATTATTTACGTTTATATTCCACATTTAATTTGCAAAATCACGAAGGGCCTTTAGGGATTCTCTCAGAACACCTCTTGGATAATGACTTCACCCATTTCATAGGTGGGTGAAACTGAGGAGGACAGATTTCCTGGCAGAGGTGAGATTTGAATCTGTTTGAAACAGCGATTGGGTAGTAAAGTGTGTGGGCCACTATCTTTAATTTTGTCAAAGAGACAAGCAGAAGCTTAGAATGACAATTCAGAATTGAGTCTGGCCTGGGCTTAGAGTAAAAGTATATTTCAAAACAGATTCCTATATGAATTCCAATTGATATCAATGTGCATTGTCTTTGGGCTTAAATCCTGCTCAGAAATTTTTTAAAGAAATGGTTAGTGACTAATATTTTAGATTGTAGAACTAGAACCAAGCTTGAAGTGTAAATGCACAAAACAAACCCACAAAGATGTTTGTGTAAATGCACAAACAAACCCACAAAACCCTGCTACATAAATGTGGACAGCCAGAATATTTTAAACAGTACCTGATGGCAGAATATAAAAACTCCATCCCATTAGCTGGCTTTGAGCGTTCTGGACTTTTTTTTTTTTACCAGCTTCTTAGGTAGATAAGATGTGTTTTATGGTCCCCTGGATTAAAATGGAACAACATTCTTTCTCTTGCTACATATTCTTGGAATTGCAGCCCGTGGAGTACATAGACCAAATGTGGCAAATTGTGGTGGACATACAAGAAGAACTTTAGGTCTTCATAATTTCCTGGTCTTAAGTTACTGGGAGTCTCTGAGACCTCTTTCATAATAAGCTTTAGACTTATTATGTCAGCAAAGCTATCTGCTGCAGTCACAATGAGAGATTTTTGGCCACTAGCAGAAATGAAAGTTGTGTGGAGTCAGAAACTGGATAGCTCTAGTGAAGCACTTTCTTTTCCTTTCTATTGCCCTGACCCTCCAGGCTTTAATTCATTTTTAAGTATTTTCTGATTATTTCTGTCCTCTGTGTTCCTTATGGACTCTAAGGTGAGGAACAGAAACTTATCTAATTATCTTGTAACTTCAGCCTTGTCTCCCTTTCACTTACGTAGTTGTAGGCCATTGCCTTTCCTAAACACAAGAGATAGTGAGTGAGTGACCTTCTAAATAGAAAGCAACATTCTGGAATGATAGAACATAGTGAAAGCCCTAATATCCAGCAGATAAAAGAAAGAAATTAAAGAAGATTTAAAAGGCCTTTTCTAACATAAAGACCATTTTTAAAGAGCATTTATGTCTTTATAAAATGTTTGAAAAGATCGTATACAATTAAAATATTTCCATAATTTGTTTAGGTATCATATGGTCTTTTTTTGTTAATAATCATGTATGAATAATGGATACAAAGGTTTTCATGCTACCTATTAAAAATAAGGTAAACAGTTACTAGCTCTCTTTCCTTGAATAAATTCTATTTTAAATTGTATATAAGCATCATTTAAGGACCAAGTATATATAAAACAGCAAAGGTAACATGTAAGAAAACTTCATTTTTGAATGCATATATTTATATTTTTTGATATTTGTATTCAATTATAAGGAAATTGGCAGGCCATATTGATTATTTAGCCACGTGGATAGGAATATTCAACAGTACTTTGAAAGCTAGTATATAAGACTGAGTAGTGTTAAATTTCATAGCGGGTGAAACCATTGATCCATAGAGTTTAGTAATGTCTATTCCTGCTAATATGATCTTTTCTAGTCTTAACTGAGATGCTAACACGATTGGAGATCCCGGTATATCTAAATGCATATAATCTACATTTAAATGATCCTTACCAAAATTATATATATATATAAAATGAATTTAGCTCAGCCGTAGATCAGCTAGGGAGGACCAATTCAGCTTCCATATAAAAAGACATTATTATTGGAGTTCTTTCACAATTGACACAAGATAAAAATCTAATATATTCATGATAATATATAATGTGATAGAGAAAATTTTATTACTTACAAGCCACACATTTCCCTTGACTTTTCCCCAGTTATGACTTAAGGCTAGGCAGAAATTAGTGGACTTGAAGTTTTATGTAGACAGCTAAAGGTATCTCAAAAAGAAGAGATTGTGCCAAACCCAACTTGTAAATAAA